TATTTAGAGAATTGTTTGTTTGTTTGTTTGTTTATGACTGTGTATTACCATAGGACAACTTTTTCTATGTTTATGCACCCAACCCAGACTAATTTGTGCTCCGTCATTTAGGGATTACATGTCTTTATGAACCCCATGCACAGAGGTACATGGGATTGTGTTTTCTGGGCTGTTTGATGGCTTATTTTAATAATGGTTGAACCACACAATTAAAACCTGATGAGATCTCAGTCTGGTTAAGTTCAGTTAAATTGCCAAGGGTACAAGTAATTGCTATAAACTCTAATTAAAAAAAAAAAAAGAGAAAGAAAAAAAAAAGCGTCAAAGAGTGTGAGAGAGAGCTCTCACTGTTCTCATTGAAAGACAGAAGGATTCTGTTTCATCTCTGCTGCCTTTAATTGATTTAGTCCCTGTTTTATACACATTTACACTAAATAATTCAGATGAGGACCTGATTCTGCAATCCCTGTTTGTGTCAAATAAGATACACTCAGGTGAGTAATAGATTTGATCTTAATGTTCTAAACATACACTGGAAATAAACAAGTAAATATACAAGAAAAAGTCTCTTATTTTTCTGTGTCACTTTAGATTATAAAACACTATTGTGCTTGAAGTTGTTTGGTTGGGTCATCCGGCCCAACACCAGTTTTCTGGACATGCCCGGGAAGCGGCAGAGAGACAAACCCTGCCTACTCACCAATCTCCTCAGGGTCGAAGCCATCTTCCTGAAGCATGTGGGAGAGAGCACAGGCCTGCTCCACCTCAGGGGCGTGGAAGGGATCCTGAGGGACAGCCTCTGCGCTACTTTCTGCAGGACCTGCTCTGGCATGGGGTCCCCACAGGCCTTGAGGGAGCTGCTCTGGCACCTGCAGCCCCTCTCCTGCCCCCCTTCTTGGACCTGGCTTCTCACAGGGCTGCTCCTCACACTTTTGTCCTCACCCCTTGCTGCCCGGCTGGCATTTTCTCCTTTCTTCTACATGTTTTCACAGAGGCACCAGCAGGCTCTGCTGTGCCCTGCGAGGGGATAGTTCCACAGCGGTTCCAGAACAATCTGGAACCATTCGGAACCAGCTGGAACCATTCGGAACCAGCTGGAAGTGGCCAGAAGCTTCTGGAATCACCCAGAACCCACCAGACATGTAGCCAGCACCTTACCACAGACACCAGTACAGACACACAATAAAGAGAAAATTCAGGCCAAAGGGCATTTTCTGGGATCCAGTTAAATGAAACTTGCACTGCTCTAAGACAACAGTTTGCTATTTTTCCTTGACCAAAAGTGTGCTATTTTTGCCTTCTAGCAGAAGTGACTTCTTTTTAGCAGTTGGCTGAACTGTGTGTGATCTGTTGCGGTCTGAGTAAGCTGGAACTGAATTCTGCGTAGTGTAATGAGTCATTGCAATCTTCCACTCACATGCATAATCACATCCATGTCTGGCAAACTATTTAAGCTGGTCAAAATTATGAGGAAAGAAGTACATGATCAGCTAACAAGTGCTTTCCTAAAAGAAATGAATGGACTTTGAAAAATACAGCAGTTCCAAAGAGGTATTACCTCTTCGCAGCTAAAGGTGAACTGAAATTTCCAGCCATGTTCTCCTAAAACATTATTTTTACTCCCAGAGAGACTGCAGACTAGTGGCTTTTTATCTTAACTCGGGATGAAAAATAAAAATCTTTTAAGAAAAAAATTACTTGAACGTTTTCCTGGAGGAAAATTGTATTTCCCAACTGTCTTCCTAATTCCTTCAAGCAGTCTTTCTTAGAAAAAGCACTTTTACCAAAGCTCTTCCAGTACAAAATATCTTATGAAACATATTTGATAGAGATGTTCATCATCCAAAAGATGCAAAACCGCATCTTCATTTCTCCCAATGATAATGTAATTCTTCCCCTCTGATGCCAAACAAAACGTACTTCAACTGAGTAACAAACAAGCCAGACATCATTCATCTGGCTTTCCAGCACTCCCTGCTAGAAAACTGCTCACTGCTGAAAGTGTGGGTTGTTAACAGGACAAAGGATAAGTAAATATGCAAACATGAGTCTAATCTATTTCTTATATGTGACCTATTAATAGGCTAAAAAATAACTGTTTTTCATTAATTGTTGGGTATAGTCAATACCAGGAAGAAAAAAGGCAGTCTCAGATTAAATTTTCTTCTATATAGAAGTTGCTATATAGAGACAGGGTCTTCCTTTTATGTACCTACTTCTTGATACATGATAAACTTTTAAGGCTTTTAACACATAAGGTCCAGAAAGAGTCATTAAATACTCTAATTTTATATTTAGAAGCCCACAAAACTTCTTCAAAACCATCAACCATTCAGTTTAGACTTTGAAGATGGATAGTCCATCACACTCTTTGGTAGTTCATTCCAGCCATTAACAGGCCTGACTTACAAACACTTCATCTCAAACACTGTAGACCCACACCAATACACCCATGTGAGTTAACCTTCTTTATTGCAGAAGGATTACAGATAAGAGTGCTCCTCCTAACATGGCTCCAGAAATGCAGTCCAGCTTCCTCATGCTCATGGACAGAGAAGTAGGGTCTTCTGCTTGGGCAGAGGTGGCAGGTTTACATGTATGCTTTAGAAATCATGTTAATCCATCAGAGTTGAGAGCCATGAGGAAGCCCAGTTTCCTTTTCCTATCTTCACTATGGGTGATTAATGTTATTATCTTCCTAGCAGTAGAAAAAGTCTTTTCTGCTGATGCTGTTTGGTTAATTTTTACTTTAATTTGTCATTAGATATCCACAACTTATATTACCTGAAAATCTAGACTTTCATTAAAGTATTGAGGTAACTTTTATATCTGCACTCAGTTATAAAAAATACATATGTTTTTAGGAAGTAGATTATAAACATAGGAGTGATATTATTCAGAGTGATTTCTCCAAGGAAAAAAAATGTTACTTGTGCTACAGTAGTGAACATATCTCTGTAATAGTGTCTGATTGTGCTAGGCACAGTAAATGCATGAAAAAAATTACCTTCCTGCCTCAGAGAGGTTACACTTGAAGCATACATGACAACAGATGGAGAAAACCCTGGAGTATTAACATTGCATGCACCAGAAGGGACTATTCTCACCACGCATGAATTAGACTGTACACTGAAAGTCCTTGGTCCAATACCACATCTTGCAGGACTGGAGGTGGAATTGGATTTTCTTTCAAATTCTGCACAGAGTGCTTCCTCCCACACATTTCATTATACTGCTGTCAAAGTTCATTCTCACTAGCATTGTCATTTTTATTTTGAAAATATTTTCAGATTACAAGAGGCTGCAATGGAAAGAAACACTGACACAAATTTGGCATGCTTTTCTGTAAGCGGTAGAAGGAAACTGCCTGCATCTCAGGCATGACAATCAGCATATCCCACTGGTAAGACTATTTGTTTCCCTCACCTGAAAGCAGCACAGAATATAGCTGCACCAACAGTAATCATTTATTTTTGTATCTGCACAATGGTGGTCAGCAACAGAGGAAATGAAGAACTTAGTAAATCTATTATGTTCTGCTTGAATATGCAGTGTCTGGAGTGTTTCTGCAGCAAACTACTGACCCGAAAATCCAGATGGTTTGTAAACAGTGCTCTTACAAGTGATTTTCACTCTGACCAAGCCAATTTAAAATCTGTTATGTTTGTCCCTACTGAGAACAGCTTCTGGCACATCTTAAACACATTGTAGAGTGGTTTTCATTTTTGAGAAGCTTTGTTTCTTCCTCTTACATCTAATTCATTTGAACTTCCATGGAAGGACTAATCAAACCAAAAGAATTTTCTGTCATAGGCTGCATGGGGACCAGATGTGCTTCTGTTGATTTTGCCGAGAGATTTCTCCCAGCGGATTTGAACTGAAAACACGAACAGGCCATATGGTAGTAAAGATAATTTACATAGCACCTTTTATCACCAAATATCACAAAGTACCTTGCAAATCACCTACTGTACAGGAAGAATTTTACTCAGAACTGAAATGCAAATACCTTTGGGGTAAAACTTGGCAAATACTTAACAGCACACAGTAATGCTATGAAATAACTCGTAACTAGCCGTGAAGACTAAAGTCATAGCTAACTGAAACTGTGAGAGGAATATAGGTTGACAAATTATAGTTACAAATCGGTTTTAATCTGCACAATTTGATCCTATATGGGAAGCAATAATTTGTTAAAGCTAGCTTCTTCCATTTGATAAATGCAATACTGTTAAAATGATCTGAAAATCTATGGGACATTGAAAACAGAACATAAGACTAAGTGTATAACAGCATTAGTTTTGCAGACTTACTGTACATCTATACAGTAAATGTGTATGCATCACCTTAATCACAATGCTCAACAAAGTAATGTGGCCAAGAAAAGTTATACTATCTTTTTATATTTAGTATTGGGTGGTAGTTTGAGAGGTTCTGGGCAGTTTCTGGTACTGACATGCATATCACTACACATTAGAATTATCAAGAGAAAGCAGATGTTTCAAATTCTATAAAATTTTCTTTTGTCCTTCCTGGGAAAAATGAACAGTAGGAAAAAGAGCGCATGATAAAGTGCAGTGTGCATCAGAGTCAACAAAGAAAACAGAGAGCATTTAATTTTCAGATGAAACAACATGAAATTTCTTAGCAAAGTCTATTACTGGAAAATGTCACTTTCTTTAGTTACCATTCTACCACTTTCAGACTGATGCTTTGTTTCATCCCAGAGTCTGCCTTATCTCTTTTAGATGTATTCATGTTATGTTTATGTGCTGTAAGAAAACAGTTCTACAAGCTGTGCAACAAATCAAATGAATAAATAGAGATACTAGACATACAACATAGTTTAATTTTTGCAGTATAATTATAGATCTTCCAGAAGAACTTTCTAAAGAATTGTTCACTGCACTTAAAATGAAACAGGAAATGGAGTTTCATTTAAAGGAATTTTATGATGAGGGCTTTCATAGAAGCCAGGAAGTTCAGCTGTCATCTCCTACCTTTTGATTTTCTCTTTCTAGGAACTGCTCTCCTCCACCTGCAGTAATTCAGGCCTGGTCACACAAAATCACAGCACTCATGTTTAGCCTCAAAACCTAGCCACAGTGATTCTCCACTTCCTAGAAAGGATAAAGACAGTATTATTGATTCTATAATAAACAGCCAACAGGTCTTGTCTGTAAGCCAGCACAAGTAACCTTTTGTAACCAAAAGCACAACATTTTTCAGCATAGCCAAGTGACAGCTGCAAAACTTTTGCATATTAAACTAGCTACAAATTAGGAGCAAGGTGTTTTCTTGGAGCTGTTCAAATGTTTAAAATGAACTGTGGCAAGATACAGTGTCAGGATATTCCTGTTCGCTTTGAAGGAATAACAGCACAGACTGTACAGCACGAACACCGATACTTTGCTGTCTTGAAAATTATGGGTTAGAAAAGATAGCAAAGATTTCATGAATAGAAGCGCACATCTCTGAGGGCAGCAGCACAGCTATATATTGAGGTTCTGTGTGCTTACCCCTGACATGCATCTAATTAGCATTCCTGGAAAATGCACACTAGCAGTATCACTCCACAATTATGATGCCCATTTTCACGGTCCTGTTTTGTTCACCCTTCTGATTGTAGTACTTGTAATCAGAGATGCAGAATAGCATGAATATAGTGCACTCAACCCCCAGGAGTAATTTTCTCTTTTTTTTTATTTTTAAAGTAAGAGTCACATGCACTGAAAGGATGTGAAAAGACTATTATTAAGCTACATTTAAATATGTTTAATGGCACCACATGCTGACTCAGAAATTCCTTTCCTCCAAGCCTATACAAAGTACAGGGTCTAATTGTAAATGCTTTATTACTGTGTTGATAGAAGAACCACATCATTCATTCTTTTCCAGAAAAGTTTCACTTAAGCCTTTTTTAATACATTTTAAAGATAAAACTCCAATATATCTATTTAGAAGAGCAATATTAGTGCTCTAGTAAAAATGATAATAATAACACTTAAACTACTTTAGATCTTCAAAATTCTGTATATATATTAAGCAATTTGTCCCTGTTGGCAAGGTCTGGTTTTAGTTTGCATCGGAGAGCAAGTAGCACCAGGTATCTTTTTTTTCCATTAAGGTATTTCCCCCTTCCCATTTTATTGCACATATACTAGATGAGGGCTTAGCTTCTCTGTCAATGGGAATTCCAAACATTATGGGTGCTACTGAATGGTTTGAGTTTTCTTTTATGAGCCAGAGATGCCCATCAGATATCTGTTATCTGTTAGATCTCTCAGGACTGCTAATGTGTTAACGTTCTTCTGAAGTCTGCTCTCTTGCCATAACACTGAGCTGCCCTGGATAGGTTTTACAAGGATATATCTATCTATATCTCCTTTTTTCTAGCTCCACTTCTCACTACCACAACTAATGGAAGCTGAACAAATCAGAATCTTATCTTTGGCAAGTGTTGGTGTGGAAACGTATGATAAGCACAGTACGTGGGATGATCCTTACACAAATACAAGGAAAAAAAGTTACTGTCTTATAGTTTTTTGGAGTAATCCAGTGAAGCAGGGCCCAACAATTCCTAATGCATATAGGAGACTGCCTCCTTTTCAGGTGGCAGGAAGTGCAGGCAAACAAGTCAACTCTACAGACTAAGGTGAAATGCAAAATAACTGAGACCTGTGAGATCTGTAGGGCCAGAACCTGTCCCAGAAGCAATGAGAGAGTTTGCCATGCCAGAAAACACTTGCATTTAAAATGTTCAGTAGTTTAAATTAACCCCTGTTATTGGAATTTCAAATTACGCCCCAAGGAAATTGGGTAGTTTGCAGATTTAATGAGCATTAATTCAGTATTCTATACTGACATAAGAGCATTCAATGTTAAAGTACATTGCAGCTATTTATCTTTTGCTTAACCAGTAAACTATTTCTATGTGTTAGTGAGAGGATCAGTGTCAATACAAATGAAAATAAAAGCACGGGAGTAAGTTGGCTTTCAGAATCTGTCCCAAAACTGAGAATTACCATCATGTGTAGTTATAATCCCATTTCCAAATGCTACCAGCACAGAGGTAACCTTGTGTTGTTTCACTATCTCATAGCACTTCATGTTCCTGAAAGTACTCTGCCACAGGCTTACATCCCCTGAGACTGCGTGGCTACCACTACAGAAGCAATTCTGAAGGGTTAAACACTGAATTCCTGCTTTGGTGGCCAATACAACCAGCAGATCTAGAGTCTGCATGCCGATTACCCTGTCCTTTGCCAATACCATCAAATAGTGCCTCCAGTAAGACATGGGATTTTGCCACAGAGACAGCACTTCTTTATTAAGTGACCAAAGCAGGCATTGTGTTTGTTAGGTGACCAACTCAATCATGTCTGATTGAGACATTGGTTGTTAAGCTTCTTGTTTAAAATACTAATGTGCATGTGGCTTGTATTTCTCGTTATATCTAGAGGTGTATTTTGAATTGCCTTAGAGGCTGCAGTAGTTACAGATTAGTTTTCATGACAAGAATTAGCAAGGTAGAATTTGTAGAGTGTATGACTAGCTAGAAGAATTTATACTGCTAAGAAAAAGAGACGAGATTTCTGGATCTGAAAGGATGAAGCAGAACTGTTTATTACTGATGCCACACAAAAGATTTCTGGGCTGATTTATTGCATAGCTTATGAAAGATCAGCACATGTACACAGAACACAATCATTGTTTTCTTTTCTCCTTCCCAGAGCCATAGCCCTATATTTCAAAAGCCACTGCTGAAGTGGAGGATGAGATGGAAAGGTTGAACTCTGACTCTGTTTTCAAGGGCAGTTCTGTTGCTACTTAACCCACGAATTTTCTCAGTCTTCTGTTGCATTCTATGCTGCCATCATCTGGCTCTCTTCATAAAACCTGACATTTTCTAATTCTTACTTATCCTCACACCTGAGTTCTTCTGCTGGTAAGAATCTTCAATGTTTTTCCTGAAGATATTTCACAGTAAAGATTTACTCCCAGAATATTCACACCCAGAATATTTACCCAGCCTCCTGGCCAGGCATCCAGCTCTTTGCCTAACTGAGCGCTCAGAATGAAGTAAGTTAATTTATGGGTCTTTTTGTACTCGGACCAACTATTCTTATTCCAGCTCCCTTCAACCAGCCATCATAGATTTCTTGTCAACAAGATAGTTATCTTTAGCATGCTAGCTACCAGTGTCCTGAGTCTGTCCTCCTAATTTAGGGAATGCAGACATCTGGTCATGGAAAACAGCTTTCCTCATACAGCAAGTAGGTGTTACCAACTTTTCCAGTGATTAACTTAAATATAAACAGATTGTTTACTTACTCTGAGGTAAATATTACTTTCTACGTGACAGAGCAATGATAAAAGTCGAGAGAATTTTTACAATCAGTTTACACTGATCCAAAGCCACTTGCTTCAAAGAGGTCACAACCTGCACCTCCTTCCCTTTCAACTGGCAACCAAACACTGTGTAAAGACTCAGAAACATTGATCTGGCTAAAAGTTGTTTTTCTGATGGCTGATAAAACTCTCAGGGAGTCATGAAAGCACTAACACTAATGAAGACATGGGGGAGGAGAATACACACAATAAACTTTGCTTCTTCTCTGGATAACTGCACAGCACTGTGGATCCTCCGGCAAGTCTTTTCTCTTTCAGCACTTCCACTACTTCAGCTTTGTGTCAATGCTTTTTTTTTTTTTTTTCTTCTTCTCTATTCTTTTCTCTCTTCTTCATATAAGTCCTCTAGTCTCTGCATATGCCAAACAGAAGTCTACGCAGCAGAACACGCTCAGCTGCTCCCAGGAATGGTGCCGTTTTGTCTTTCTGCCAAAGCATTCACCCAGCCTGTTATGTGGGTAGCAAGGACAAGGAAATAATGTTGCCTGCCTCTCTGCTGTCCGGCCACACCCCAGTTAGCAGTGCAGAACAGAAAGAAACCACATAGTACACTTTTGTTATACATGAACTGCAAACCAACAAAGACAGCAGGTACCCTCTACCACACAGCACATCAATTAGACTAATGCATGCAGTTCTTTACAAGACACTAATCAATCACCATAGGGAGACAAAGCACAGGGTTACTGGGAGACATTCCAATATTCTTTTCTTCATCCTTTTTCCTGAACCATTGCCCAGGAGAGGTAGGTTAGATAAAGCTCCTTTGGAGCTTGATACATTTTTTCAGAGTATGGGAATTACTGCATACAAATGAGACTTTCAGGCCTGTAAATTAAAATTAACAAGTCTTGGGGCAAACCAGAAAAAAGGGCATATTTGTATGAAGACAGTAAGGAGAGACAAACCTAAAAAGGAGAAAAGAAGGAGGAAGACTTGATCTTAACAACTTGAAGAACAGCTGCTTGGATTTAATCCTCACAGCTGAGTCCTGAGGAATTCTGCAGAATCAAAACTGAAAATAAACAGACTTATTTAATGAACAAAATAAAACCATGGATAATATTGGATATGCAGAAATCACCAAGTGTTCTGCCCCAGTGCTAACTTCAAATGGCAGTGTGCTGAAATTTGCAGATTCTCTGTTCGCTATTTATTTTCATATTGACAGACCAGAGGTGGGTCAGGGAGGCTGGAGGATGTGACAGCTGAATTAAACCTTCATTTTCAATTCAAATCTGAAATGGACCCGAATCAATCATGTCTTGAGCACTACTGCGTGCCTCCCCTAGAAATCTCTAACCACCTGAATACTAGATGAATGCCTCCCTCATGCACTCTGGCAGAACTGGACTGATTTTCAGACCGATTTAGGAACTAGCAGAAATAGAACCAGGCTCCCAAAGCTTAAAAGAAATCCCAGTCCTAAAGCAGCAACATAGAGAGCAAATGCATAGTTCTATAAATATACTCACATTAGCACAGCTAAATACTGGAGGTTTGAGGAAACAACTTACATTCAGGTGTTTGCAGAGGAAGAAAGGACGGGTCCTTTATCAGCCCTACATAGCATCTCTAGTATTCATTTCTTATGCAGTCAATTTTTCTAGGCTTGACCTACAAAAATGTGGAGTAAGAAGGGCATAGTGAAGCAAATGGCGTAGAGATCAGTTGTGCGACACATTCCTTCACTTGTGGGTCAAACAAA